CGTGACCTGTGCGTGTGGCGGGCGTGGCGCGTGCGTGCGGGCGTGCGTGCGTGCGTGCGTGCGTGCGCCGCCTGGGGCGGGGTGCAACCGCGCGTGGATCGCCGGCGTGCGGGCGCGGCAGAGTCCGCGCGGCCGAGGTTATCCCGCGCTAGGAGCTTGGTGTGGCGAGCGAGGTTTTGATTAAGAGTCGCTGCGGATTTTTGCTGAGGAGACTTGCTACCTGTGCAGCGAGGGGGGAACGGTTGACCCACCGTCTCCGTTTGCAAAGGGCTTCGTTTTCAAAACACCTCCGAATCAAGGCAAGGAGACGATGAGTGTGGAATGAAAATTCAAAGGGTTCCCAAGGATCGTGACTTGCCTGAACTCACCTGGGTGAGCAGTTCACCCACGGTCAGTGTCACAGGCAGCGAAGAGTGGGAAAGGGCCAACCCCATTAGGGCAGGTACCAGGCCGGTCTGTGCCCCTGGGTGGATACTCCCACCTCCTGCCCCTCCACCTGCAGTCACCTGTCCCACAGCACCTGGCAGGTGGTCAGTGTATACCAGCGCCCACGGAGCAGCCTGCTGAATTAAGAGCGAGTAAAGGAATTTGAATCCCTGTTCTGCCTGATCTGCCTGCAGCTCAGATCTAACCCTCAGCCACTTCTGCACGACATTTTGGGATTGTTTTGTTTTGTTCTTATGAGAGAAATTTTTGCTGTAGTGGGCACGCGCTCTCCGAAGAGACAGAAAGCAAGAAATCATCTGGTGTAGTGGGAGATGGCCACTCCACAATCCCCTCCCTTCCACTCTCCTCTCAGGACCCCGGGCATACATGCTCAAGCGCCCAGTGAGTTTTAAGCCGAGGAATCCAGGACTCAGACCACGGTCACCATGTGGGAGTGCGGTGACTTAACTACTATTCCATCTGCTGGTCTCATGACTATTTTTTTGACAGCTCCCTGCCATTCAGGTACACTTTCTCCATAGCACTCTGTTACTACCTTCCATTTCATTCCAGAGGCGGGTTTCAAAGAATGGTGCCACATTACTGTTAGTTTAGTGAATTGGGTATTTCAGACACAGGTAACAGGACTTCCACTAATAGTGAGTGGCCCAGGTGGTAAATAGTGTTATGTCACCTAACAAAGTCTGGAGGTTGGTCGGAAATCCAGGCCTGATGAGGTGAAAGGGCCATCTTTCCATTCTGTCCTCTTCTCAGGCTTGTCACCTCATTGTTGCAAGCTGGTCCCCACAATTCAAGGCAAGCAGCTTCATACAACTGTATCTAAAACAGGAAGAAGAAGCTAAACTCGGAAAGGACCTTTCCCCCCTCTCTTGTATAAGGAAGAAAACGGTTTTCAAGATAGAAAACGGTTTGCAAATCCTTGACTAACTGGGTCAACTGGTTATCACATCCTGAGACATCAAATATCTGTACAGAGGAAACAGAAAATGACTGTGGAGTCATTTTGTCAGCATGTGGTGTGGAAATACAAAAACTAAAAAAATGCCAGGCAAACAATTCTGAAGAGCTTTCTTTTTAAGAGTATTTTCAAGACCAGCTTTTAAACCCGGTGGTTAAGTGGTGTGCATAGTGAGCCAGATGCCCATGGCTGACCACAGTTCGAATCAGTGTTTGAATCCCCATTCAGGTGTACATCCCAAATACTGACCAGATGGGGAAATGGAGGAAGAATTGTAATGTGACCACACCCTATTAGGGGTTGCTCTCTCTTTTATCTCTTTAGTGAGCATACATGTCCTCTGGCAATAAAACAAAAATCACTAAAAAGTTTTTCATATAGTTAGAAGATAAAATGAATTGGACAGTACATTTTTTAAACCAAACAAGGGCAGGGGACCAGCAGGTGGCATGGTGATTAAGGTGCTGGAGCTTTCATGAATGAGATTAGTGCCCTTGTAAAAGATATCCAAAGAACCCTCTAACTTTCTAGCTAAGATATTAGCCTAATAAGAAAAAGCAGTGTCCTGACCCCCCCCCCCTTTTTTTTAGGTTTTTGGTATAGGATACTTTTAGTCCCCAGGAAGAGAAAGACAGGTACAGAGAGAGGAAAAGTAGGAAATCACAGGGGGGTGGCCACACCTTAATCCCTTCTCCATTCTCTTCTTAGGATTTTGGGCATGTACACACACATGGCCTGACGTTGAGTTTCAAGCCACCAGGCTTGGTACTCAAACAGCACTCAGCCATGTGGGAGTCCAGCACCTTAACCACTATGCTACCTGCTGACCTGTGTTTTGTTTTCTTAAAGGAAAATCTGTGTACATCCAGGAAGAGAGCCCTCACCATAACCTGACCTTGCTGATCAGAGCCTGACCCTGATCTCAGACTTCCAGCCTCCAGACTATGAGAAATACATTTCTGTTGTCTATAAGCTACCCAGGTTATGGTACTTTATTATAGCAGCCTGGACCAAGACATAATTAGCAACACTGGCTGGTTTTCATCACCAAAATGCTGTTGTTAGCATCCATGTAAACCATCCTTTTACCCTCCTAAAAGTATTCTTCAAATACTGAATTATAGGGGCCAGCAACTGGTGTAATGGGTAAGGGGCTGGACTCCCACATGGCTGACTGGTTCGAGTCCTGGATCTGACAGTTTGAGACTGACTGGACATATATGTGTGTGCACACACCCAAAATCCTAAGAGGAGAATGGAGGAGAAGGGATTGTAGTGTGGCCCTTTCCCCCTGGGGTGGGTGATTTCTTTTCCTCTCACTCTCTCTCTTGCCAGTGAGTTCATGTGCCTTATGGCAAAAACTTAAAAAAATAAATAAATACTGAATTGTACTTATGGTTGCCAGTGCAACCTTTTTCCCAATATACAATGCCAGCCACTTCATTTTGTGCCTTTCATACATTTCCTAATCACAGTTTTCATCTTCCTGTATCGCTGGCAAAAGTATAGTTCACTTCTGTGCCCTCATCTAGAGCAGTAAACCTCTCTAGTTCAGGAAGTCATTAGAAAGGTGACAATCAATATGATATAGGATACTTATATTATCAAAGCAACAGCTGACAGATGGTAGACATTCAACAGAACCTGCGATGCCGCGTTGGATTGATCATTGCTATTAATCCAGTGATTGGGACTCAAACCCATATGCCCTATCAAGACTGTCCATCCTTTACAAATGGAGTAAATTAGGATAGTATCCTAATACCTTAGCCCAGTACAGGGAAGTATTTTGTGCATGAACTGTACAAATACTTTCCCCTGATAACACACATTGCGTGATACTCTGTTCTTTCTTTTCCTGAATAGAAGTTGCTGCACCCACAGGGGGAGAGGTTTTCACCCACGACACTGAGTGCCATTCTCTTGGTGTGAGGGATTCCAGGAGATAGCTGCTCATTTCCATATTGATGAATTTTATAAACATGGTCTCAGATAAATGCCAGTGTACACTTCAGTGAGCTCATTTGTTTTTCAGTGGAGGGAGAAGATGGTCTCAAAGAATATATCCCTATCTGTGAGAATTTACTTTCTAGAAGCAGAAAGAAATGTAGTTGCAGGCGGGCATGGGAAGTGATGGGGTTGAGGAGAGAAGAAAGCAGACAAGAATCAGAGATGAAACAACCAAATCGTAATTTTCTTCCTTCTCAGTGGGATGCTGTGAGTGTGGCCAGATCCCCACTGAATTTCAAACCTTTTGGCTCCCTAACTCTTTGGTGAGGAAGAAGGCAGAATGAGATCTGAGGGGCTAGTTTTCTAGTGCGCCAGCAGAGAAGATGTGCAGGCCCTGGAGTAAATGAAATGTGTACTGTTAGTAAAAGATTCTCATTGGCTGCCCTGAATGAAGAGGAAAGAAACTGTGGCACCATGTCCTAAGCAGGGCTGGGGAGTTGGGGAGAGGCCTGAGGGAGACCCGTCCCTGTGTCAAAAGACAAAATTACAGTAAATTACTTGAAAGCAGGTTGGTTTAGGGATCAACCTACTGCCTTAAAGTATTGATTTGGTCTGTGTCACATACCAAACAATAACACATAGAGACACCATAGCCACGAAATATCAGTGATGGGTAGAGAACATCCTGACCAAGTCAGATGGAAACTTCGTGGCATCTGATATATTTCCAGATTTCTGAACCACAGATCATGTCATTCACTTGCATTTACATAGATATCAGAGGTCTCTGGAACTCAAAAAGACCTTTTAATAACCCAGGACCTTTTCTGAGTGTGCTTTTATTAGTTCCAGAGTCTTCAAAGGACAGGAAGTAATCTTGGGATCTAAAAGCAAAATGGTTTCAAATAAAGATAGTGAGATTCTTTGAGTAAATTCTATGTCCTTATTAGAATTTATGTTGACAGGAGCCCCCTTCAGTAGCTGAGAAATCATGATACTGTAAAGCAAATTAGTTTAATCAGACAAAAAAACTGAGGCCCAGAGAATCTTTCTCATTGGGCCACCTTTCATGGCCTAGTGGTTAAGGGAGCTGGATCCCATACAGCTGAGCATGCAGTTCGAATCCCAGACCTATTGACTTTAAAAACACACTGGCCTGGGGCCAACAGGTAGCAAGGTGGTTAAAGTGCTGGATTCCCACATGGCCAACCATGGTTGAGTGTTGGACCCAGTGGCTTGAAAATCACGCTGGGCACATGTGCATATGTGCTCAAAATCCCAAGAAGAAAATGGAGGGGATTGTGGTGTGGCCATAACCCCTTGGGGAGTGATTTCTTACTTTCTCTCTCTCTGACTCTCTCTGGCAAGTGCACACACCTGATGACAAAAAATAAATAAATAAATAAGTAAAAATCTAATACACTAGGCAGGCATGCATGCCTACATGCCCCAAATCCTAACAAGATGGAGAAATGGAGGAAAATGGATTGCAGTGTAATCATGCCCCACTGGGGAATGCTTCTCTGTACCCCTCATCTCTCTCTTTCTTACAGGTGCATAAGCCCTTTGGCACATTAAAAGAAAAGAGAGTGCAATGACAATGGAAGAACTCGGTCTCCCTGCTTGGATCCAGGTTGTCTCTTGGTTCTGAATGTATTTCCATGGAAGTTGAACTCATCTCCTGGCAAAACAAGTGTGTTGTTAATGCATATACAGCAAGAGCCTGACATATCCAAGCACTCGGTAAATACTCATTTAATTGCATGGTGTAGTGACTAATTATTGTTCAGTAGCTATCAGAGAGGATCTTGGAGTCAACCTGTAGCCTGGGGGTAAGCCAGCTGGATCCCAGATGGCCAACTACACAGCTGAGTCTTGGACTTGGCAACTTGAAAAATACAGTGGGTCCATGTGTGCATTTGCCCTAAACCCCAGAAGAGGGAAAGAATGGATTGTGGAGGAGAATGGGTTTTGGCATGATCATTCCCCAAGGGAGGATGCTTTCTCATCTTCCTTCTCTATCTATCTTTCTCTGCTGAGCACATGCACCCTCTGTCAAAATTTAAATTAAAAAAAAAAAGGAAAAGAAAGAATCTTAAAAATCTTCAGCACAAAGAAATGGTAAGTGTTTAAGATGTTTTATATGCTAATTACTCTCATATGATCATCAAACATCATAGCTATGTATGGAAACACCATTCTGTACTCCATAAGTATGCACAATTACTATGTATCAATTTTAAAATAGAAATAACATATATTAAAAATAACAAAAAAAAATCCAAGGATATCATATCTTTGGTTATTTTGTAAGGAAGTCTATACCACCAGAATCAATTTGACACTTGCAGGACAGATTATCCAACACAATTGACTTTGCACTTCCATTGTTTATTAGTATTTAGTCAATGACAGAAGACAATGAAAAGACTACAGGTATAATTTCAAGTCACATTATCATAGACTGACATGGAAAATATTTCGATAAGCCTTTCTTCCAACTACTGATGGCTTCAAGAGCATGGAAACCTATGATTTTTTTAGTCACCAAAAATCACGGTCAAAAAATTAGTGAAAGCTATAGCCACTAGAATTCACTTTTCATATATCAAGTAATGTTTCTTCATTGATAAGACTCTGGACAGGCATAATCACAAGTCTCTGGGTAACTTTGAAAACATGTTAGGCCACATACAGGATGATATTTATTTTCTTCTTTTCCAGTTTTGAGATATATTTCTCTTCAACTTTTGATCTCTATAGGGAAAAAAATGAACATGTGGCTGCATTAAAAAAAGAATTAAGAATTTTGCTTCTTACTCAAATATAGAGGAGGAATACACTATTTCTCCAGTGAAACAGGCAATGTACAATATAAAAGAGTTTGGATTGAAAGAAGTGTGTTATTGTGATCAGCTAATGACAAATTTTATCAACGTCTACTAGAATCTCGGCTTAATTTTCTGTCCTCTGAATGGAATAGTTCCTGCTTTATCTCATGATCATGTAGGTGTGATTTGATAACCTTAAATAAGCACAAGTAAGACCAAAGTATTAAACTTTTCATTATTCTAACTAATCTGGCCAAAATAATGGTCATTTATTATGATTTATATTGTAGCCTGTATTTTTTTAAAAAATGGGATCCCATTTTTACTGTTTGAATCTAGTAAACATAAGGACTCCACAGAAATTGTGACTTCTACAAGAAAAATACCTTTGTTGCAAATAATTTTTCAGAGCTATGGTGTCTCTATGTGTTATTGATATTTTGGGAATGTGGGAATATCATGGCGAGGTTATGTGCTTGCTACGTATATGCAAATACAGGATTGCAGAAGTGTTCCCAGGAGTATACATCTGATGTAAGTTTGTTTCATTTATATCTTACCCGCTAAATGATTCTTGTCTTAGAGCAATGGAATAATTTAAAAATATAAGCCTCTCCCTCACCTTCCAGAAATACTTAAGATATAACTTTGGAGCTATTCTGGGTAGGGAAGTCTCTGAGCTTTGGAGTGGAAAAAGGCATTTGTACCAGGAAAATGATATGGTATAGGGCATAGTTTGATTGAGAATTTGGCTCATAGGCCTCATCTCTCAGGAGCCAAGGCCTCCCACATAGATGAAGCACTTTTTTTTTTTTTTTTTCAGTTTCCAGAGGGTATACAGGTATACTCACTGGCATGTTTTTCAAGTTGCTGGGACTGAGATTAAAACCATGGTCAGCCATATAGGATCTGGCTCCTGTAAACACTACGCTACAGGATTGATCCAAAATGGTCTTCTTAACTTTGATTGAGCGCTACTTTCAAGAATGCACAATTCAAATGAAGACGATCAAGTTGTATGCAACCAACAAAATAAATTACATGATGTACTTAGGATCTGTATAACCCCCATATGAAAAATCAGCAGTAGGGAAGCAAAGGGGGAGAGAGCGAGAGTTGCAAATGTTAAGGAGGATGGTCATGGAGTCCCCTCCCTAGCCAAATGGGACAAGGCTGAAATGGCAAAGGCAGTGGTTATGATTTGGATAATGGGTTGTCTTCTTATGTTTCCTGTTGGGAATTTGGTTGTGGCCAGCAGTACCTGGCTGTCCCCCAGGGGTCCATACATGGGGACTTTGTTATATTGCTAACGTGTTAGAGAACAGGCTCATAGCTTGGTGGTTAAGGTGGCTTGTCCTATATAGCCAACCACAGTTCAAGTCCCAGACCCAGTGACTTGAAAAACATGTCAGTTCTGTGGGCATGTGTGCCCAAAATCCTGAGAGGAGAATGGACCAAAGGGATTGCGGCATGATCATCCCCCATGGGATGGTGCTTTCTCACTTTCTCCCTCTCTCTTTTTCTGTCTCTCTCCTCCAGTGAGTACACACACCCTCTAGCAAAATTAAAGAAAAAAAGTGTCAGGAGAAGATTTAAGATCACACCTTGGGGTGTGATTGTGTCACTGTGGGGGATCCCCATGACTGAGCTCAAATGCATATATACAGAGGGGACATGGGGCAGGCGAAGCCACATGGACATTGACCGCACTCCACTCCACTCACGGTCAGTCTGCTGTCCTTTCAGGATGCTTTTGGACTTTTCAGGTACCTGAATTGTGTGTTTTGCAAATAAACCTCTATTCTCTTTATAAATCACCCAATTTTAGGTATTCCTGTTAACAATACAGTAGCAGACTGACAGCAGACAAACCCCAGTGAAATGAGGTCCTTAAGATAACCTAAGGAAAAATAATCCCAGCTCCTGAAGACCCAATTTTAAATAATCCCCCTGTCTCTGACACTGCACTAACAATGTTTTCCTTACAAGTTCACTGCATGCTGCCTGCAGTTTAACTGATGTGGGGTAGACCTCTCGGAATGCAAGAAGCCCAGGACTCCCAACACATCCTTTCTTTAAGCCATCAAGAGTTTGGTCTCTCTTGTAGTAGATCATCAGTTATATTAAATTCCCTTTATATTGGTTTCATCCATCTAAAGCCTTCTAGTTTAATATACATACTTGTTATAATAAATGTGTCAGTAAACGCTGTCTGAAGAAATCTGAGGGGACACTATTGAGACTGATAGTCTCATATAAGAAAATAAAAAGTAAATATCTGGACCGGCCTCATAGTGCGGTGGTTAAGCACTGTGCTTTGAGAGCCATACCCAACATGGCTGACCAGGGTCTGAGTTCCAGCTTGGTGGCTTAAGAAACATGCTTGACAGGAGGAAGAAATGGAGGAGGGGAAATTGTAGTGTGGCCATGCTCCATTGGGGGTACCTTCTCTCCCACACCCGCCCTGGTGAGTATCTGTGCCCTCTGGCAATTAAAATGGAAAGACAGAAAGGAGAGAGAAAGAGAAGAAAAAAAAGAAAGAATGAAAGAGAAGGAAGGATGGAAGGAAGAAAGAAAGGAAAAGGAAAAAGGAAAAATCTGGCCACAGGGGACAGCAGGTGGCATGGTGGTTAAGGTGGGTGGATCCCACATAGCTGACTCTATGTTTTGAGTCCTGGACCTGGCAGCTTGAAAAACATGCCGGGCACATGTGCAAGTGTGCTAAAATTCTTGAGGGGAGAATGGAGAAGGGATTGTGGCATGGTCATCCCCATGGAGGGTGACTTCTCACTTAACTTCTCTGTCTCTCTCTGGTGAGCACAGGTAGCCTATAACAACAATAACAAAAACTTTCTGCCTATGTTTTTTCAAGAATGATTCCTATGTATGGTCCTTCCACTTACCCAAGCTGGATGTGATATGGTTCCTCTCCTTTGTTTCGCCATGGAGGACGTTCAGTCCTGGCAGTGCTGATCCTGGTACTGGGAGGGACGTTCCTGCCTCTAGCTCAGGGAACCCCAGGGTGCTGGGCAGGCTGGGCAGGGCACTCACCTGCAGCTGACTCGCCTTGCTCCCTCCCTGCTGCCAGCAGGCTGCTGGCCAGCTCACAGATGTGATCCCAGGCGAACCGCACGTGGGCAGACTCCACAGTGCGAGAGCAGATGGCAAAGCGCAGCACGAACTTGTCTCGGAGGTGGCACGGAACCAGGTGGATTTTCTTGGCACTGTTAATTCTCTTCAGAAGAGCTTCATTCAGTTTGTTGGAACCCTGGTGAGATCGACAGAGGCACCGAGCTCAGGACTCCAGTAATCACCGAGCGCAGCAAGTGTGTGGCAACACTGATGTCGCAGGGAAAGACCGACCTTACCTTTGCCTTCCATCACAAAGTGAAACACACTACGAAATAGTGTCACTCTGACTGCCTCCACACCCTACAACACAACTCCTCCTGTTCTTTCATGCTGTCAAAAATGACCCTCCCACGGCCCAGGTTTTTAAGAAACAAGACCCCTGGCTATGTCATCTATAATTGATAAGGCTAAGCAGCAGAATGGGGGTTTCTGATGATGCTTAGGAGGAGTTCTGGAGTCTCACCAAAACATGTAGAAGGAGTCTCAATAACAGTTGAGTTGCACTACAGATGAAAGCTTTTCATCAAACAGCAGAGGGAGGTCGGGGGGATGGCGCAGTGGTAAAATGCAACAGTGTGAAGCTCTCCCCATGGAGGGCTCTGGGCTCATGTGCAGAGAACTCCCTGAACATGCCAGGCACATGCCCAAGATCAAGGCTGGCTGAAGCTGGGAGTGGATCACCGTGTCAGGATCCTGTTGGAGGAGCTGCCTCTCCTCTGTCTCTTTAGATCATGGAAAAAATAAATAAACTTAAAAATGAAAACCCAGATGGGGAGTCCTTGCTTCCTGCCAGGCCCTGCTTCCATGGCAGCCTCTTGGTTGCACTCTTCATCCTTATCCCCCCATGGCTCTGCTCTCTCTTCCATGCACTGACTCTGCCTCCTCTAAGCTGTGGAATCGCCAAGGACTATAGAAAGGAGTGGGATGTGGGGCGCTGCATCCTCCTACATGACCCTCACAGGACTGGGCCGTCTGTTCTTGCCCTGTCTGCAGAGCTGAGGGCAGTGAGGACAAGTGGAAGGGAGCAGTCCAGTCTGTCCCACAGACCCACCCCAGGCGAACACCTGCCAAGCACAGGAAACTGGCCTGGACCAGCACCAGTCGCTTGGCCTCTAGCTGTGGGCCTGAACACAGCTCCAACTGGTGCCAGGTGGACAGTAAATGGACCAAAGGCAGCTGAGAAGTGATCAGTGTCCACTAGGCTGGGACACAGCTGGTCCTATTCTAGGATGAGGTAGAGAAAGAAAGAAACGCTGGTGTTTCCAAGAGAATGGAATTTCACCAGAGTCAGCATAAGAGAAAAACCTCTGATCATCAGGAAATGTGGAAACAGAAGCAAATGAATTAGGAAAAATGGAATTACTATTTTCAAACAGATTGGCCAGACAGGACTTCCATGAAGTGGAAAGAAGATGCCAGAGAAAATGGTCTGAGATGAGACAACGACACAAAAATTGACAGGGTGAGATACAGGAGACCGAGAAATGCGTGGCCAAATGAAGGTGTGAAGGAGGCCCAGTTAGGCAGTGCAGTGCCCTGCGGGTTTTAGGTGAGGAACCAAACAAAGTGGCCATTGGCTAGAGGACTTAAGATTGCAACCTGAGAGGAATAGGGCAGGAATGAGCAATGGCTAGATGGAGCAGGTGGAGGCGGAGGAATGAGCCACACATTTCACTAATGTGCTTCCTCACGAGGAACGGGAGGCTCAGCCTGGTGGCAACTTGGTAGCAAAGTGAGCTGCAGTGCTGGACGCCACATGCCGACAGCGGGTCGGATCCCCAGGTGGCCCTGAGCACACGCCAGGTGTGTCTGTACACGCCCAACATCCTGACAAGCTGGAGGGCCGGGGAAGGGGTTTGTGGAATAAGGAGACAGTTGAGGAGCTTGCTCTTTCTCTTTTATGCACGTACTCACTGTCACAAATAAAATAACAACAACAAAAAAGAAAGTAGATGCATGAAATGGAAGTAGCAAAGTTTCCCAAAAGAAAATGTCAGCTGAAAATGCCACTCATGGAAGGACCCACTGAGGTGCACAGGAGACCAAGGTAAAGGATAGAAACCAGCACACAGATAGGCCTGTGTATTCTGTAAATTACGGGCAGGGAAGAAAGTCTTAATCTTGACAACAGTATGCCGAGCGGAAGGCCACATATCCTAACGTTCCATCTATAGGATGTCTGGAATGGAGAGATCTCCAGAGACAGTGGCCCTGAAGAGGGGGCATGGGGAGGCCACTAATGGGTCTCGGGGGCATGACGATGTTCTAGATTGAGATGGAGGTGACGGCTGCACAATATTGTAGATACTAAAAGCACTCATATGTACCCTTTGATGAAGAAAATTATGTCTCAAAGAATCTGTTAGAAATTCAAATGTAAAAGTCGTTAAGAACACTGGCTATAGAAACGAAAACAGAAACCACCCCCTGGTGGCTGCTGTGTTTGAATGTGTCTCCAGTCCTCGTGACTGCACTGGCTGTACTGTAAAGGTGTTAAGTGAAAACTTACTTCCTCACGGTGTCCCGTGGCGAGGCCTGGTGGGCAGTGGTGAGTGCGTGGTGACTGCTTCATGGAGGCAGCGTCTCATGGATAGAGTGATGATCTCAAGAGACCCAGTGAATGCTAGTCCTCGTGAGAAGGAGTGAGCGCTCATGAGGGCTGGCTGCTATAAAAGGGATTAGGCAGGATCTCTCTCTCTCTCTCTCTCTCTCTCTCTCTCTCTCTCTCTGCAAGTGCCTGCCATCTTCTGTGCTACCCTCAGCCACACTGTAGGCCGAGGACTTTGGACTTCCTAGCCAGCAAAATCCTGTTTGCAGATAAACTGCTGTTTCCTTGTAAAACCACCCAGGCTCAGGTATTTCCGTTAGCAATGCAAAAATGGGCAAAGACACTGGCAGAGGGTCTAAGCACAATGCCAACACCGGCATTGACTGAACTGCCGCATCTGGATTTCCGAATGCCCATATGCTTTGCAACGCATGTGCTGGGGCTTCTCCCTCTCGTCTACCTGGAGAGCAGGTCCAGACCGCTTTGTGGCCCCGCATACCTCCTCCCAGATCTCACCACTTGTGCTCCTCAGAGAACTCCAGCCTCCTCACCTCAGAACTCCTGGAGTCAGGGGAGGGCCAGCAGATGGCAGGCGAAGGCAGAGTGGCATGCTGGCGGACAGCACCTGGACGGTGGCACTGAGCCCTGTCCGTCCTGACCGTTGCCTGTGCTTTGCACCAGGAAGCCTCCTGGAAAGGCCTGGAAAGCATCAGAAACTGCTGGCCGATGAAAAGCCACTGGTACCTCCCTGCTGGTGAGAGCGTTAGGCTCTCAGCACATCGTAGACCTTTGAGAAACGTGGTTGTGAGTCTCAGCAAAGGTGGCTTCTGCCCCGATCCCCCTGGGCTAGCTTGCCCGCACAGCTCAGGCAGCAAAACTATAGTCCACCACTGCCCAGCGTCTCTCCGACTCCTGTGTGGGGATCTGCTTAAGAGGAGGAGGCAGTAGACGTCGGGAAGGGTCCAAGATTCGCATTTCCATCCAGCTCCCAGCCGATGCCGACTGCCGTGTTTGAACGCACCCCCAGGCCCAAGTGTTAAAATCTGGCCAGCCATTGTTTATGATGAACAGTCGCACGGGTGGAAACAGTAGAGACTGCACCCGATTACCACGTTGAAAGTGGGGTCTTTAGGAGATGGTTAGGCATCAGGGGAGGCCCCATGGTTGGTCCTGGTGGGTGTGTAACGAGAGGGACTGAGAGACAGAGACACTCTCCTGTGCCAGCTCCTGCCCTCCGCCAGGTTGTCCACCAGCAAGAAAGCCTCCCAGAGGCGACCTCTGGACTCGATTTTCTTTGACTACCTAGACTCAGTATCTCTCTCCTTAGCAACAGAATAGACTAGGACCCTGATGCTGCTGGCCTGTGGTGACCCTCCAGTTAGAGTCCACTGTCCACCAGAACGCCCAGGGACAGTGATACGACATAGAGCCTGGGGGACGGGAAGGTGGTGAGGATTCTAGGGCCAAGGAAGGACAGTAGCAGGACATCCCCAGGTCACAGCAGAGACCCCCGAGGCCTGGTGCGGGTAGGAAGAGGCAGGGAGGTGGGTGACAGTGCAGGCGTGGGTCCGCGGTCTCCAGGAGTTAAAGCAAGTTTGGGGTCATGGAGGTTCTGAGACATGCTCTCCCCCATCCTGTTCAAACAAAGTGGAGAAGCCTGAAATAGGCACAAACAGACCTTCAGCCTAAAGCACACCAGCCCCAGAGTGACTTCTGCGCAGATCTCAAAGCGGGGGTCCTGGCGCACCAGCGATTCGAACTCATGGGAGAGCTGGACGTGCTTGAAAGAGAAAAGGGAAAACCTGTCAGTTTCCCATGCTCCTCATTCAGAGTAACACCTTATTAGGCCGCACCTCTGTGAATCATTTATACACAGCGGTTTTCTGCAGGCGTGGGCATCAATCACCTCCAGATGTTCCCGCACAGATGGAGACGGAACCCGCGGACAGCGGGAAACGTCTAGTATCTTCGGAAAACTGCCAACCATCCTCGTCTTCTCCTTGGGCTATCTTTAACCCACCCAACCGCCTTCCGTAATTTCAGAATGCACCTCACTCAGAGGCATTTGGACATTCTGGAAGAGATGACGGCTGACACCCACCGCTGGCTCCCTCGCACTGTCTGTGTGGACTGCTTGCCGGTGTCATTCTCAGGACCCTGGCAGCGTGGGGAAGACATCTTGATTGCCCCATTTTGCAGACACGGACACCAGCGGCTGAGCGGGAATCTCATGCAGCTGCCTAGAGCCGCCGCTTGGGCTCTGCACTTCTCCCACGTGTTTGTCGCGGAGACACGACCATCGTCTGCCTCATCATGTCCAGGGACTGACTGTCACTCGATGGACACACCAACCTGCTGTAACTTCCAGACCCTTACAGAACTCAGAGGTGACTCGAATACTGTATGATCCAAGGAAAGCATGCTGCCCAGGGCACGGACCCACATCTTGCTGGTTTGTAACCCGGGCTAAAAGCGGGGCGCTCGGGTCTCCAGTGCTCAGGGGGGAAGTGAGCAGAAATGGCGCGATCCTGGACCATTACACCAGCGATCCCCAGTCACACCACCAGAGGGCGCCAAAGACTACGGACACGGGGCTCCCAAAGGCGGTCTCTGGGGCGACGGGGCTGAGAGCGTCCCACATTGTCCATAATAAGGCAGGACCCTGCCCCTTCAACGGGAGGCTGGTGTGTGTTTAACATGACGTGGCACAGTCACGACTAGCTGTCCTTCCACTTAAATATGTCGTCATGGTGGACAGAGAAACCGTGCATAATTTTTGCTGCTTTGCCAACGCTGAGTTCAGCCTCATAATGCTCCTGGTTGGGGAATGGAGTATGTTCCTCATGAAATCACAGGCTCACTCCTTTCCCAGCTCTCTCTAACGTGGGCTCTAACGTGGGTTCCCATGCTGCTTGATGGCTCCCTCCACCAGTCTAGTGAGGCAGCAGGGAGTGTGGCATGTGAACAGGTGCCAGAGGAGCAGTCTGGGAGCTCACGGAGCTGCACTGCTGGGTAGGAGGAGACACCTGGACTTGAACTGGCAGCTGGTGCTGGCCAGGGCTGGAAACTGCTGCTGTTCGGGTTCCTGGGAGGCCCAGGACCTCTGTCCATCCAGATGAGGCCACAGTCTAGCAAGGATGCCAGGATGGGAAAGGCCCAGCTGGGGATCTCAGACCTCCTGCAGCTGGCTGCAAGGGTGGCCTTGTGCAGGTTCTGCTCCTACTCAGGCCCATTTCCTTCAGTTTAATAAAAGAGAGAGAGAGGGGCCCAGCCACCATGTGGCTGCAAGGCTGAAAGCCACGTGGCCAGCCAGTGCAGACCCTTGGCACCGCCTGCAAGTGTGCTGGGTGCCCAGAGCATACCCGGGCCCTGAGCACCTGGAGGGCTGGGGAAAGGGCATCACAGTGTGACAGGGCCCCACGGAGCGTGTCCCTCTTCTGGGGGCGCACACACACCACCTTCAAATGAAACTGACAGGGAGCAGGTCTTGGAGCAGGGCGATGGTGCTCAGGGTTCCTACATGTCCCTGCTACCTGCGTGCTGGGAGCCGCTGAGCAGGTGCTGGGCTGGGATGCTTGTTTGAGGACTACTGGAGGAGGTGGCATCTGTCCCACCCCAACGCTAAGGTTCTCCTGCCCCGGCAGTTTCTGGGTGAGGCACATTGTACTCTCAGCATTGTCATGGCTGAGTGAGGTTCAGTCAGCCAGATGTGGTGAAAGGACGACCTATGGAATCTATATGGTGCTTTTGCTTTGATCAACATCCTGGAGCTGCTAACCACTTCTTTTCCTCCTCCTCCTCCTCCTCCTCCTCTCTTTCTTTTTCTTTTCTTCTTCCTCTCCTTCCTTCTTCCTCTTCTCCTTTTCTCCTCTTCCTCTTTGTCTTCCCCTTCCCCCCTCCTCTATCTCTCTTTTCCTCTTCTCCTCCTTTTTTTTTTTTTTTTTTGTGAGGTTTTTTCACTATAGGGCACGCGCTCTCG